CTATCTTGGGAAATGGTTTAGGATGAGTCTTTGTACTACATTGGGCATACATGCACACCAGTAGACATAACTGGGTCTTGGGTGTCCTCCTGGGTACTCATCAAATGGATGCTTGTCACAGGTGGCAGTGGCAAGTCACATGGGTCAGCAGGCTCTACAGCTCAAAGCACAAACTGCATTACAATCGCAATATCTCTGCTGTCATACACACTACTGCTCCTACACAGCTTTTAATCAAAGGCCATGGAGTTGTTGTCTTCATGTCCTGTGCTTGTAGTTACATATCGGGACGTGAAAGCAATTAATAGACATGGATTGAATTTAATCCCCTTTCCTCTGTTCTGAAACACATGGATATGAAATATGTCACATTGCCATCTGCAGTGGTTGCGCTGGGTGGCCTCATGATAGCACGTAAACACATTCTGGCTGCTTGTAGGCTAACATCATTCAACACAGGCCTGTGGTTATATTACAATCATTGACTTTTCAAGGGGTGCTGTGCACAGGCATCTAATGAGAAATGCTAAGCTGGGGTAAGTATAGATGATTGAACAAAAACAGGGCATGTAAATCACACTGTTACTTTCCACTATGACAAAAAATATTCACTGGAAATTTCGATTTTCTGAAGAAAATATGAGTATATAAGCCTGTGAAAAATCAGTGACTGATTCATTGCTATAGGCTGTGGTGGGTGGTTACTAGGGCGTAGCTGTGCAGTTGCTATGTTTTTTCTGGGTGGTTGCTAGGTGGTTACATTTACATTTAGTCATTTAGCAGATGCTTTTATCCAAAGCGACTTACAAATGAGGACAATGGAAGCAATCAAAATCAAAAAGAAGAGAGCAATGATATGCAAGTGCTATAACAAGTCTCAATTAGCTTAATGCAGTAAATGTAGCAAGTTTTTTTTATTATTATATAATAAATAAAAAGAAAACAGATAGAATAGAAAAAGAATAGATGTGTTTTTAGCTGATTCTTGAAGATGGCTAAGGACTCGGCTCGGATTGAGTTTGGCAGGTCATTCCACCAGGAGGGAACATTTAATTTAAAAGTCTGTGAAAGTGATTTTGTGCCTCTTACTAGTGAGTTACTTACTAGTGCAAGTACAAAGAGCTCAACCCTGTACATCTCTATGCTATTATGGCTCAGATCCCTTTGTCAGTGAAAACATATGGTACAATTAACATGCATGTGAGATTGTGCAGATTATGGGGCATGAAATTACCTGATGATGTAACAGTGGAATAAGTTAAACTTTACAGATCAATGGGAACATTTTCAAATGGGATCATTTTTGAAAACTAAACTACTTCATGAAAATGTGAGTAAAAGTAAACAAAAGGCTGACTAAAACCACTTGGCAATATGGTGCCAAATTGAACATTGGCATTTCATTCTCATTTTAATGTGACCCTGTTTTCGGCAAGAACTACAAAGAACGTAAACGAGGACACAGCAGTTTCCCAAACAGAAACAATGATGTAGAGCAGAACTGAAGGAATGAAAGAGAAGGGATGAGGGATGAAGAGAGAAGCCAGTCATGAAAGGAAACTGTAAGAGACAGGGGTTTTGAATGACAAGTCATTCTTTCATGGTCACAAACATAAAAACAGCTGAAACTAATTAACTGGTGAGGTAGACGGCAGACAGACGGGCATCGGGGACCATCATTGTGCCACTCGTGCCGTTTGTTTCGAGAGCTTGTCGGTAGGAACTGTCAGATTTCTGGCGCTTCGTTGATTGGTGGGCAGGGAAGCTGGGCATTCTCATGCTTACAGCCTCTGCATTATACAGGATGATTTACACGCTGAAGCAGCTGTTCGTTCTGGCAGCGGTTCAGACCTCACATAAGTAGTTTCAAAGAACTCTAATGGACTCAAAGCTGGAACACAACCACAGCCAGGCAACAGGGACAAGTGATACCGAAAGCACACCGCAAAGTGTGGGTCAACATCAGCGGCATTCAGAAACACTCTATCTTCTTCTAATTATTCAGTATAATGATACTCTCATTGATTTATCTAAAGCAGTTTATAGCTATTTTTTATTTTATTGTAAGAGAGTTTACATAAAGGAGGTGTTACTTACCAGTACGTCATATAAGGGAGCCATTTTCCACCATTGTTGGCATATCTTCAAAATGGAAAGACAAATTCACTAAACAGTTGAAGCAAGCTTGCTTAAACAGTTTGAGCTTTCCCAAATAAAACACCCTGTAAGGCGTTTATATGACCTTGCCGGGTTATTAATAAGAAATTATGTATGTAAACACACTCATTGTCAGTCTTTTCATCGAAAACAGGCTTCCTTCCTATGTAAATTATAGTGTTTTATTTGTGTGACAATTAATATTGTTAATTTCCTTATTTTATTTGTCCCATTTTATTATCCCAAAGTATTTTGTTTACACGATCGTTCAAAAGTTTGGTGTTTTTTTTTTTTTTAAATATTAAAAAATCAATAAAAAAATAACCAACCACCAACTTTTGAATGGTATAGTGTATGAATTTAAAAATCTTTATTTAAAATATGTTTCTGTACATTTTCTCTTGATCATGACATCAGCATCAAATGTGTCTGAATCATGTAGAAGTGATGCTGTAAAATACTGTATGCCAAATCATGATAATGATGACAACCTAGCACTCAGAACCAATCAGGAAGATTGACTTTGCATACTGTTTGAGCTGTTACCTGATTTAAATAATTTCTTTAGAGAATCTGCATTTAAACAATGCAGGCAGTGTGTGCAAGTAAACCGTAACAGCAGGTACGTTTCATTCTTCATGAATTCCCCCATTTATGTTGATACAAGAGAAATTATTCAGTAGATCTTGTCCCAGTGCCAGCAAAGGTGTTATTTATTCGACTGATTAAAGGTTGGGCTTTTGTTTTATTTTTTTTCCATATGTGATTGTCTATCCATGCATTGCATTTCCACACCTGCCAGTCTGAAGTAATAGCTTTTAATCTGTGCATCAATGCCTGGATAAAGAGCCTCTGAGGAGAGAGAGGAGATATGGATGAGAAACTTGGTTTGTTCCCCATCCCTCCGTGGCCTTCTCTTTCTCATGGCTGTTGCTGCTGTGCACGTGCCATGTTATCAATAACTGGGGTTCACCACTGACAAAAACAAATCACTTTTTCATTTTCACATTAAAAACACAAAAACGATCTAGCCTGTGTGAGCTTGTCCATATGATTACTTTAAATAGTCACCTCAACAATCTGTTCTGCTTGGCAGCCACATGCTGCCCTGTTGAATAGCACAATCCGTCCTAGTATTCAAATAGCTTTAGCCAAATGTGTGCGCTCTGAAAAGAGTTTGCTGTTTGCTTTCAGGAGAATTCTGTGTGTCGTTTTTAAAAGGATAGCTCATCCAAAAATGAAAATACTCTTGTTATTAAAATCCTAATGTTGTTCCGTTTTTTTTCTTTCTGTGAAGCACAAAAGGAATTTTGAAGAATTGTTACATGACTAATTTCAGTACAACAGGCAGTACATAGTGACTGCAGCTATAAACACTATAAAATCACCATAACAGTGGTATATATATATATATATATATATATATATATATATATAAAATATATACCAAGTCTAATAAGGTCATTTCTTTTAAATGCATAGCACAGTAATGAAGGCAGCAACATATGATA